CCTCTGATCTAACAGCTGTTATTGTCAGGAAGTTCTTACTAATGTTTAGATGGAATCTCTTTTCCATTGCTCCATGTTTTAATTTCTGGAGCACCAGATGCCACCACTGTCTCTCACATTTCCCAACAGATTCCTCCCTCTGAGGTGCCTTGGGAGCATGATTATTCTTTTAAACAATTTGTGCACTTTCCTTGTTTTTAAGGCAATTGAAAGGCAACACAGCAGCAATTCAAAAAGTAGGCAGAGGCAGTGTGTGTCCCATAGGCTACATATAGCCTACTTATGATGCAAAGTTATTTATGCCTGTTTATGGTGAGGATCCATGTTCTATGGTGGCAGCCTTTTCACAATTAAAAAAGCTACCTAGAGAAGGTTTGTTAAAGAAAAAAATGGTGACAAAGCTGATTCTTTTCTCCTAAAAAAGAACATTACCACATTCCGCAAATATTCCCCAGATGAACCAGCCAGTTTTAAGGTGCATGAAAAAGCCAAAAAGTGTCTTTCTCAATTCAGTACAGCCCTAATAGTACTTTGTCACACCCTGACCAGCTGTCTCTGGTCTTCTGTATATTTCTTGCCATACATGCACTATCAAACTGGCATAATGCGAGTTGATTAATATTTGGCAGCACATTGTCATCTCTGGTTATACTGAGGAGATCTGAGATAGCTTGTCTTTTGTGTTTGCTCACTTATTTAATTACATTCACATACCACCCAAGATTTTGGCATTGCTGGAATTAAGAGACATGTTTTTAAAAATATTTGGACTAGTTAAATTGCATTCTTATTTGTTTGTCTTTTTGCATTATTATTATTATTATTATTATTATTATTATTATTATTATTATCCTGTTTATTTATATCCCGCCTTCCTCCCAGTACAGGGACTCAAGCCGGCTAACAAATTAAAACAGTCTAAGTTAAAACAGTATAAAACATTAAAAATACAAAGAGTGAGTGAAAATTAAGCATAGCTAAGTAGATAAGCACCAGTTATGACATAAAACAAAATGACGAGTCTTAAATGGAAGGGGCTTTTAAAACATTTTCAGAGTGAACTGTATCCAGAATTCCTGGGAGGAATACCTGTAAATTAAAGGAAAAACATAAACACAAAAATAGATGTCTGGATGTAATATTGTGTGTGTGTGATTTAATTTCTAAATATTGAGCCGGTTTTCAAAACTCATAGTAACATACCTTCCAATTGATAACAACATACCTTCCAATTTGTCAGGAACAGTCCCAGTTAATCCTCTGTCATCCCAGTTTTTCAACTGCTTTTAAAATGTCCCAGTTTCTCTTTCCTTCTCCCACTTTTTGTATATGTATTCAGCTTACTTCAGTTGATGTAAACTGAGTTCAAAGTGCAAAAGTTGTTTGCACTTAACATTTCTATACCTCTTTATAGTGCTGAGCGCTCTCTAAGCAGTTTACAAAGTGTTAGCCAATTGGCCCCTACAAACTGGGTACTTATTTTACCGGCCTATGAAAAATGGAAGGCTGAATCAACCTGGAGCCCTACAAGATTGAACACACAACATTTTGGCTGCAGTACCAGTATTTAACCATTATGCCACCAGGGCTCTTAATTAATTCGTCAGGGGGCAAAGGAGACTGTGTGTTCTTCTTCATTAATTTTTGCTATCTTGACCACACTTAGCTGTTGCTTGCCATAGATATCTCCATTTTCATCTGTGAAATGTTGGAAGGTACCATTAGGCTTACTGATTTCTGTGGGAGAGAGTTAGGCATATGCATCTTGACACTTCCCTTGTTTTTACATCCTTGTGTTGCTGCTTTTTGTTGCTAACCACTATACGGCTTCAGAGACAGAGGCACAGAAGTTGGTGAGGTTACTGATGAGCACTTATATGGGATTGTGCTGGCACAGAACCATAAAGTGAATTTCTCTTAGTAATGTACTACTGAGGAAGTAATCTATTTACTGTGAGTCATATGGGAAAAATGTTTTCTTCAATTCATTGGCTGCTTGGAATGAAGAGAATGACTATGTGATATCTTGTCACTCAATGTTTAACTGAAGGAGCATATGTATGAGTTGTAACCTTGAGTGTGAGGGTACATTAATTCCCAGTGGTGTGGAAATTTCCCACCTGAGATAGACCACTGTCTACCAGACTGTCCTTTGAGATCAAGTTATAGAAACATCAAACTTTAAGGCTGGGACGGAACTCAATAATAATCTGCCTTGCACTGAACACTTTTACATTGGTGCAAGTCAAACAATGTTTAAGGAATAATAGACCTCTTTGGTTTTCACAATTGTGTTCCAAGTAGCCTTGCAAACAGGCCAAGGATTACTCAGTGATAGCAGACAAGCCAAAAAGGCCACTATGAGATGGCCATGCTGAATGGGGGATTCTGGGAGGTTGAGTCCCCAAAGTAAGTTTTCCAAGGTCTTCTAATATTCTTGGATAACATGAAAGCCAAAGGCATAGGATACATTCCATCAGGTGGTTTGTCTAATCTGGGGCAGCTGCAGCAATAACAAGATCATCAACAATAAAGAATCTTGTAGCACCTTTTAAAGACTAGCAAAGTTTTGTGGACCAGGGTTGATAGATCAGGTACATGAAATGGTGCCTTAGATGTGCAGCTGCATATATCTTGAGTACCAAGGGGAGGCGGGTGAAAACCCCTTTGATTTTATTTTTTGTTTATTTTTTATTAAATATTTTGATTTTTCTAGAAACTGAGCCCTAAAGATCAAACAGCAAAAGAAAATCAACAGTTTTATGTGGTTGAAGCTGACAGGGCATAAGTGAATAAAGACTCCAACTGAATAAGATCCAGTTAGCATGGAGGTA